ACAGTTTAAAATGTGATTACAATGGTCTACAACTTATAGTGTGACAGCTTAAAGGGGAAGTAAACAGCATTCATTCTCTTTAGGGATTTGAGACTGGCACTTACATAAACGTTACAATGTCTTTCTCTTACAGTTTCATCAATGCCACTTTGTGTAATACATATCAAAAAAATGGCAAGACAAGATCCCCAGTAAGATTCCAGAATGCAGCCAGTCGATCAATAGCATCGGGATGCTTGCTGCAGCACAACTCCCACTAACCCGGAAGGCAAGATGCCGAACCACCACAGATGCTGCAAACAGTGTGTATTTTAAGACCTGAATATATTAACTGATCCATTGTAAAACAATCTACCAATATGAAAACTGGCAGGGCCTGATCAAGTAAAGGGCAAATTTATTTATGATGTAATAAAAATCAGTTAATTTCATTCAATTCAACAGTCAATATTGAACACATTTTTGAACCACAAATTTAAAGAAATAATAATTTCACTGAGTTCAATTTAAAATACTGGAGAATAGAAATTTTTGGTGCACTGAGTTAATAATTCTCAAGAGATCACGGCACAGTATGATCGATCAATCAATGCAAGATCCTTCCTTCCTTCCCGCCCTTGCTCCCTCCATCCATCCATTCTTTGCCTTTTATCCTCATACCCTAGTCCCACTGCCCCCACCCCCCAACACATTCAGATGGAACCATTCTATTCTGTTTCATGTTTGGACAAGAGCACATGTGACATTTGCTACATTTGAGCAGAAGCTGTAAAACCCATTGTGTTTCTGGCCACTCTTCTTTGCCAAGAACGACAGGACCCAGAAAAGAGCTGCTCTTCAGAATGAGATGACTTGTGAGGAGCCACAGTCAACTGTCAGCCACTAACATAACATGAGCAAGAAATAAACCTTTGTTGTTCTGTACGCTCCTGAGATTTGGTGATTAAACTGACTAACATAGAATGGAAAGTTAAACTAAATAATTACACCTGAGTGAGATTTGGAAGGTCACAGCAACAGCAAGGAAAGGATATACTGCCGCTGCTGCTGGTTCTGGAAAGTCATGTTAGAGGTGTGAGAGCTTGTAGGAGCCAAACCCCAAGTTCCAGGTCTCATCTCCAACTTCAGGGGTGAGTTAGGGCCATCAGTATAGGAAGGGACAAGTAAACCCCCCCAGATGTGCCCCCTCCTACCAAATAATAAACCTAAAGTATATCCCTGAGGAAACTGCAGAGGAACCATCTTCCCAAGACTTGAAAGATACAGGGGTGGTGACTGTATGGCATTCTGATTTCACTAGCCTATTTGGCCAGCGCAGAGGAGACAGATCTTGAAGGATGTATAGTGAATCAAATCAGGTGACTACAATTGTAGCTGCTGTTCCAGGTATGATCTCTTTACAGAAACAAAACACAGTAACTGGCATCTAGTCAGCATCGACCAAGCTAACACATTTTTTAAAAATCTATTCCAAAACAGACCACCAGAAGCTGTTTTCACCTAACAGCCCAAAAGTACACTTTCACCATCATAGCTCACAGCTACACCGGCACCCAGCGATCTTTCATGACCTAGTCCACAGTGACTCTGGCCACCTCAACACCTCACAGGTCCACTACCCTGTTATCTCCTCTACCCGCATATCCCGCCCACACTTGATATTATGTAGCTTTCTCATTGGTGCCAACCTAATAGGTGAAAAAAAGACATGGCGTTACTATTTCTGTTTGCATTATTTGATTAATAATTTCAAACATCTCTTTCTATGCTTGTTAGGATTTTCTATTCTGGAATCTACTTATTAACAGCCTTTGCCCATTTTTCTACAGGTGTCACTGCCCTCCTTTTATTGACCCCCTTGTTAACTTTAGGCACTGCTAATATGTTCTCTCACTCTTTCACCTCTTTTGCTTAATGAAAATCCTTAATTTTTATATAATCCAAGTCATTACTTTTTCTCTTTTATAAGTCTGTAAAGGTTTAAGAAGTCCTACTCTGTCATTGGGTAAAGACCTTCAGCATTGTCTTCTATTAATTTTACAGTTGTTCCTTTCGCATTTAGATCTTTAATTTATCCAGAGTTCATCCTTTTGTGGTGGTAGGTTTGTTCTGCATGTAGTGAACCACTCTCCCTAACAACATCACTCCTTTCTCCAGTGACTTACAATGCCACCTTTAAGTTCTGAACATATATATACAGAAGTCTCCACTGTTCCCCCAGTCCATTTTGTTGTTGTTTTGTTCTTACACTAGTTTTTATTGCTACAGCTTTGAAAGAGTATTTTAAATTCTGCTAGGCAAGTCCAATTAAAGCACACCTTTAAGACTGATTTAGCTATTCACAAGCTTTATCCTGCCTGCCATATAAATTTTAGATTTGGAGGACTGAGTTTGTCAGATAAACCAACTGGAATTTTGACAGCACTTTAAATTTGTTAAAAATATGTTAAAAAATATGTTAAAAATGGAGAAAACTGACATTCTTATAAGTAATCTTATCTCAAGAATATGTAAAGTTTTTCTATTTATTTAGGTCCTTTTCTAGTTCCTTATTAAAGTTTCTCCTTAAAAGTTTTATGTATTCTTGGGTTAATTCCTAGAGACTTTATAATTTTGTTCCTAATATTTTATACTATATTTACCTTTGATTGCTAGTGTAGTAAATGCTATTAACTTTTGTAGGCTAATCTTTAATCCACCAACCCTGCTAAACTCCTAATAGTTTCTCTCTTGATTTTAACTCTTCTGGGTGATATTATCTGCAAATAATGAGTTTCATTATTTCCCTTCCTATCCTTATACCTATTTTTCCCTTTATAATAGTGTTAACCAGGACCTTTCTTATCATGCTAAACAGTAATAGTGATGGAGGTATCCTTATTACCCACCTTGAAGTGAATGTATCTAAAATTTCTCTATTATTTGTTGTAGCTTTTTGGTAATGACATTTACACAGTTATCTTGTATTTTGAGCTGGATCTTATTAAATAATTTTATGGTATCAAGATAATCATGATTTTTCTCTTTTGGCCTATTAATGAGATAAATTACATTAATAGATAAATGTTAAACCATGCTTACATTTCTAAAACAAACTCTACAGATTATTTTTTTAACACACTGTTGGACCTCAACAGTGTTGAAAGCTAGTATATTGTGTAGGATTTTCATATCTTTGCTAATAAGTGCAACAGATCTCTAATTTTCTCATACTATCCTTATCTAATTTTAGACCAAGATTTCACTAACCTCATAAAATGAACCTGGCATCTCCCTTTTTTTTTCTATTTCCCAGAACAACTTGTAAAAATGAATTAAGTATTAGTATCTAAAAGTTCAATGCAACTCACTTATAACATTACCTGGGTCCAGAGTTTTTGAAAGGGGAGGTCTTTAGCTACCATTTCAGTTTGTTAAATATTTATTAAGCAGTTCAAGCTATCTTTTTCTTCTGTTACCAACTTTCAGAGTTTATAGTTTTCTAAGTATTTATACATTTCATCTAGGCTTTCAAATTTATTAACCTATAGAAATTCATAAAATTATGTTTTAAATGTTTGTAGTTATTTCCACTTTCACTTACTTTATTTGCAATCTATTTTCCTTGATCAATCTTGTTAAACACAGGTCTGTCTAAGCTTATTAATCTTCAAAGAACAATCTTTTGGTTTGGCAAGTCATTTGTTCCTTAATTTCACTAATTTCTGCTTTTTTTATGTTGTTTTCTGAACTCTTCATAGAACTCTGTGTTCGCACTAAAGCAAGCTTCCTCCAGCATTTAGGTAAGTCACCCTGCCACTCTGTCCAAGGTCTACTTTCACCACACAGATTTCAACACACAAACTGTACATAAAAGTATTATTCTCGTGCATGCACAACAGGGAAACATCAAACACAGATCTTACCAACCATACCTACACATGAATGCCTTTGATTAAAGCAGTATCTTGAAGAGGTAAGGTTATGAGCTGTTCCCACACACACACACACACAAGTGTAAGGCAGTGATCATCAATCTGAATCAAGGCAATCCTTGTCTGCAATGCTACCTGGACAATTCCTGGTGCAGTTTGATAAAATTAGTAACTAGAAACGCAATCTCCGGCTGCTTTACCAGATGCCATTCAAAAACTGCAGTTATTAATAGAAGAGAAAAACCTGCCTGTGATGGTCAATTTTCACATTGACCCTCTCAAAGCAAAAACACTTTTTTTCCCCCCAACTCTGTAAGTACACCTCCCGACTGGGGGCAGTTTCGGATTCCAGACTTTGGTCTTAATGTTCCCTGCCTGCAACAGCACGGGAAGGCACATCGCTACAACAGAAGTCCAACACGCAACCGAAGTTTGGATCTGGACACATGCTGGGCGGCTTCCTCTTACCAGTGTGGACTCGGGCCATAATGCTATCGATTACCAGCGGCGGGACGGATGCCACCGCGCCCGCTGCCCGGGCTCACTCCACGAGCACCTCCCGCATCTCCTCCTCGGATGCAGAAGGTGCACAGACACCGGAGGGGAGAGGACGGGCGCGGGTACGGTCCGCTTCCTAACCCCCAACTTGTTTAACGCAGACTGGCTACCAGCACAAGAACACAAGGTGCCAGATTTTCCTCTCTGGCTGCAAAAATAATAATAATAATAATAATAATAATAATAATACGGAAGGCCTCCCCCTACGGAAACTCAAGCTGCCTGATCTTCCTCTCCCGTTTGAGGGTGAAACTTCGAGGGAGTACGGGAGGAGAGAAGCGCTTCCTCGCGCTGAGTGACAGCCGGCGGCGGGAGGCTCGCGTCCGTGGAAGTCGGGCTGCGCGCACCGGGCTCTGCTCTCGGCCAGGTAACCCTAGACGCCGGGGCCGCAGGCACCCAACGAGGGAGGGGGGGGGGGGGAGGCGGGGACGGGAGGGGAGGGGAGGCCCGGGCCTGAAACAAAGGAAGCGGGGCTGCTCCCAAAAGGGTGGGCGCGGCGTCCGGGGGGGGTGGGGGGGCGGGACTCACAAAACTTGGAGGTGGAGGTGTTGATGTTGATGGTGGAGCTGGGGGTGGGGGCGGGCACCGCCTTGGCCGCGGCGGCGGCGGCCGCGTCGCAGCTCTTCACCATCATGATCACCCCATTGGCCTCCGGGGGGGGGGGCCCCAACGGGAGCCCCTCCTTGGGGCCTTTCCTGTCCGCCGAGACCGCCGGCACCGCCAGCAGCTGTCCCCCCGGCGGCTCGCGGGCCGGGGCCGGGATCGACGAGGGGGGCGGCGGGGGCTGCCGGAAGCCGTCCACCGCAGCCTCCCAGTTGTTGTGGTTCTGGTCGTCCATCATTGCCTCGTAGCTGCCCCCCTCCTCCTCTTCCATGCTTTCCTCCATCCTGCCGGCCCCCAGCACCCGCCCGCCTCACAGGCACCTGCCGCCCGTCTCGACCCCCGGGCCAGGGGGCAGCGCCGCCTCCTCGCGGTCACATCGCCGGGGGCCGGAACGGGCGCGGCGGGGAGGGCGGCGGGGCGCTGAGTCGCTCACTCTCCGCCGGGCTGGCTCTGGGAGACGGGGCTGCCGGCGGTGGGCGCTCCCGGGCTCTCGTCTGGGAGAGGCAGCCGTAAAGCGGCAGCGCCCCTCACGACATTTTGCAGCAGCTTCCAACAGGCAGTTGGGGAGGGCAGCTGGAGGCGCGGCCCGGAGAGCACGTGGTGCGAGAAAGCAAAGCAAAAAGGGGCGGGGGCTGTGAGTCACCCCCGAGCAACAGGGCAGAGGTTCGCCCCGCCCCCGCCGGGCTGCTCTCGGAGGGGCGACGGGTCGGGGAGAGCATTCATCCGCCCCGCCCCCGGCCCCGCCCCCGCCCCCGCCCGGCCTCTCGTCATAAGGGAGTCTGGCTGCGCACGCGCGTTCGCCGTCTGGTTGCCCTGACGACCGAGAGCCGGGCCGCCTCCTACAGCTGAATGCCAACCCCAGCCGGCTGTCTGGTGCCGTCCACCACCCTCTCGGTGGTGGTTTTGGGGGGCTCAGCGGGTTTACCGGGCCCTCGCACGTCCAGGGCCTCGCAGCCCGGCCTTGGTTTGGGGACGAGCTAGGGAGCCACCACAGTGCTCGAGTCGCACATTGACAACGTTCTTTTATGGGAGTGCTCGCAGCCTTAGCCCACACCACCCAAACCTCAAAACCGAGAATAAAAGCTGAAACTTAGCAGGGTGACTAAAAAAAAAATGCATGCGTTTGAAATATTCATGGATTTTTTTTTAAGTTTCTATCTCCTCCATACATTGAAGCAAGAAATTTTAGCGAACTTAAAATACCAAGCTTCATGCACTATTTCACAAATCAGACTACAAGTTTGAGAGTAAGAGTTTTGAGGGTCAGAGAAAGATTATGTAACTCCATTTTTTTTTATTCCTCTACATTCTCAAATTATAGTAATAGCAGTAATATCAAAATATGTTACAATTGCTTATTGTGGAATTTGTTCTAACTACTGGTGCTAAGAAGGAGTGCCTAGAAAAACCCTTTAATACATTTAAGCTAGCAGATACTCTTTATTTCCACAAATATGTAATTAGCGTGAAGTGAAGAATCACTTCAGCCACTAAGAAACTGTCTAATGTACTTCAGTGTCCACATTTGTTTCAGCTTCTTTCCATATAGTTTCCCATATATTCTGCACAATCCTAATGGAATGCTTTTTTTTATCAATAACTTAGAATGAATTTCAGACAATGCTCCCCTATATGAAGACATTTTTTTTAAATTAGCACATGTTTTTAATTCTCTGGGCCTGGACATTTTGGGAATACAAAATAAGGGGGGACATTTTTAAGTAAAAGACAATTGACTGGAATACTAAGGGGGGAAATGTAAAATTCTATGCCCAGCAACAACAACAAAAATACTAGAGGGAGAATTAGTCTTTTCAGACTAATAGCTGAGTTTGTCACCAATAGACTTTCTAGGTAGGTAGATGGTTATGTGACTGGAGATGGAGGTCTTCACATAATCAAAGATTCAATACACAAGGAAGATAAAAGGCCTAAAGGTGTCTCTGATAACGTTCACAAAAGACATAAAACAAAAATTGGCAAGTACAAGAATAAAGAGAAATCTACCATCACAGCAGATGATTTTCACACATCTCTCTAGTAGATTGGAGTGGGTTAATAGTCACCCTGCATAAGATAAATTCATGTCTTAATCCCTGGAACCTGTGAATGTTACTCCATTTGGAAACAGGTTCTTTGCAGATATAATTAAAGATCTTGAGAAGATCATTCTGGATTATCCAATGGCAGGAGGCCTCAAAAGAGGAAGGCAGAGGGAGATCTGAGACAGAAGGTGAGACAGAGAAGAGGAGGAGGCAATGTAACTACAGAGGCAGAGATTGGAGTGATGAAGCCACACACACACACAAATGCTGACAGCCACTAAAAGCTGGGAGAAACAAAGAATGGAGTCTTCTCTAGAGACTCCAGAGAGAATGCAACTCTGCTGATACCTTGATTTCGGACTTCTAGCTTCCAGAATTGTCAGAGAATACATTTCTGTTGTTCAAAGCCACCCTTTTGAATTAATACATGGATCAAGAGCACCAAAAAATCTTTAAGGGATTTAGAAGATTTAAATAACAATACAATTACCAAGCTTGATTTGATGAATACATGTAAAACATTTCACTCAATAACTGCAGATATATACATTCCTTTCAAGAATATATGAAACATTTACAAAAGTTAAACATAGTGAGTCATAAAGCAAGTCTCTCTACATGACTAAGTATTGGCATCATTATTCTCTGACCACTAGGTAGTTTAGTTAGAAATCAACAACCAAAAGATAATAAGTAAACTCCCATATTTCTACTCTTCCAATCAACTCATGGGTCAAAACATCAAAATGGAAATTAGAAGACATTTAGAACTGAAGGGATTGGTACTACTATAGCAATTCGTGCACACATGGGGTCCCTCAGCCTGGCCAGCAATCGAAGCCTACCGGGGGGGCTGGCCAGCCAGGGTGACAGGCCACAGGAGGTTGGCCAGCCGCCAGCCGCCCCCCGCATCGGGACTGATGGGGGGGGGGCGCGGCCAGGCAGGGGAAGAGCCACAGGAGGTGAGCATTTCCCCCCTGGTGATCAGTGCGCATCATAACAGCTGGTTGACCAGTCGTTCCGGTCCTGATGGTCACTTAGGCTTCTCTCTCTCTCTCTCTCTCTCTCTCTCTCTCTCTATATATATATATATATATATATATATATATATAGACTGGAGGCCTACTGCACGAAATTCGTGCACGGTTAGGGTCCCTAGGCCTGGCCAGCGAATGCCGGCTGGGGCCTTCCTTCATTATGCGCCACCCCCTGGTGGTCAGCGCATGTCATAGCCAGCGATTGAACTCCCAGTCTCTTGGTCAAACTCCTGAGGGAACAATTTGCATATTAGGCTTTTAGATAGATAGATAGATAGATAGATAGATAGATAGATAGATAACTTCCATTCTAGTAAGGCCCTACTTCAGCACACTGGTGAATGCTAAACCCTTCACATGTGTACTACCAAAATGATCAATATAAGACATTCATTTTTACTATAATTGGTTAGATACACCACTATGGTGTCAGAGTTCAGAACAAGTCACCCTAAGATGTCTCTTTGTGGTAAGTGGATTATTTTGAGCTAAAGCAACTGAAATCCTGTAGGCTCATAAGAAACTTCTGAAAAAAAAAAAAAAAAAGAAACTTCGCCCCCCCCCCCCTTTAACCACCTAGAATAATTAAAATTAGGGCCTTGCCCATAATAAGAGTTATTAATCAAAAATAACTTTCTACGCCAGAACCGGTTTGGCTCAGTGGATAGAGCGTCGGCCTGCGGATTCAAGGGTCCCAGGTTTGATTCCGGTCAAGGGCATGTACCTTGGTTGCGGGCACATACCCAGTGGGGAGTGTGCAGGAGGCAGCTGATCGATGTTTCTCTCTCATCGATGTTTCTAACTCTCTATCCCTCTCCCTTCCTCTCTGTAAAAAATCAATAAAATATATTTTAAAAAAAATAACTTTCTATGAACTGTCCATAGGGCAGGGCAAATTACTAATTACTGAACATCTGCTCTTATCATTTTGCATATTACCTTACTTCCCCCTGAAGCCACAAGGCATCTTCATCCTCAGCTCAGGGACTTTCTGTCCCTGAACCTCTCATGTATGTGGTGTCTCTGACTCTCTTGTGTGTACGTATGTAATTAAATTTGATTATTTTCTCTTGTTAATCTGTCTCATGTATATTTCATTATTAGATGAGCGGAAAGAACATTGAAGGATAGAGGAAAGTGTCTTTCTCCTGCACAATGAAAAAAAAATCTAATGATGATTGGGTCAAAGCAGTGACTGACAGGGTGCAACCTGCCATAAGTAAGAAGAAACACCATCTACTGAAGGGAAATCAAATGAACATATTGATAACTGGTTGATTTTATGGACATTCTGAGACTTTATTATTTTACACTTAAAAACATAATATATCTTAATAGTTATTATTTAAAATCTTTGATGATTTTTTTCTGGTATGTGGAGATAAGGAATAGCATTACCAGCAGTCATTGACTCAACAACACAGGTAATAACTGTGCATAGTCACAGATATTCATCTGTTTGGCTTTTTGTTTTGTTTCCCACTTCCTACTAGGCTATGAGTTCCTCTAAAGCAGGATAAATGTATATGTAAAATATATATGTAAGTTTGTTTATTTAAAGAAAAGACTAATTCCAAACATTAATAGCAGGTACTAGGGTAAGGAGATGCTGAGTGGATTTAATGGTTCTTGGTATCTGTCAACATTTTCTATGTTCTCTACAATGAGCATGTATGTATTAGTTTTACAACCAGAAAAATATTCCAAACCTTATAGTTTAAAAAAACAAACCATAAACAACATTAAGGAAGTATAAATTGGAATCTTATACGGCAAGACGTTTGTTTTGGCTTCCAGAAATAGAAACCTCAAGTAAGAATTGCTTTTAAATCAAGGCTGTTTATTGGCTCAGTAGTAAGGTGTAGGAAGGGCAAAGGGGAGGGCGTAGTTCAGTCAGGGCTCCAGCTCTGTTCTCTGTCCCCATCTCCCCTTTTGCAGGCCTTATCCTCAGACTGCCAGCAAAATAGCTGCATAGCCCCAGGCCTCTTATACCTAGTCAACAATGTCAAGATGAAGTTCTTTCCCAAAAACTCTCAGTAAACTTCCTCTCAATGTCTCAGTGGCCTGTTCCTAAACCAATATTTAGACCTGTGTTCCAGAGCCATTTACTGGCAAGAGCTGGGATTTATTCCAATAAGGCCGACCCCTGGAATTCAGGGTAGATCAGCTTCTCCTTAAGGACACTGGCTGAGAAGGGAAGATGCAAGAACAAAAACTGGGGTTAAGTTGGGAAGTTTAAATGAGTGCTGGGTAGGCAACAATGTCCATTATAAGCCCAAGTACCTAATCTGTTGGAGCCTGTCCATCACACAACCCCATGCCAACCTCTCCACTCCCTCCCCTTCAGAAATACCTCCCTAATCAATATATTTATGCAAAATTATGAATCATCAATTGATAATTATGAATTATCAATATATTTATGCAAAA